GAGTAGATCCTGTTTTGTCAATGTAGGCACCAAATTGCTTCAGATAGCTATTTTGGACTAGATTAATTGCTGATGTATTGTCAGCAAAGTGGATTCATATCTCAGCTCAGAAATATGGAAAACTGTCTTTAAAATGTATTACTTGAATTCTGAAATGCAGGAAAAAGAGCGTAAAGCATACCTTTGACTTGCTGAACTCTTGTCTTATTTAAGGAATAGTGGTTTGAAGACTGTTGCCCAGGAACATGCACACAGACTTTCCATGTACATCATTGGCAACTGAGGAACATACTTAAGAGGCCAAGTTTAATCCCTCATTGATCTTATTTCTACTTAAAATATGAATACAAATGTGTGTAGTGAAGGCGTTCAGAAGCAAGCTCTGCCATCTTAGTCACACTGTACACATCATGTATCTGGATTAAGTTTCTGAGTGCCTCGTAACATCCTTCAGTCCTCTGGATCTTGTGCGTAGCATTGCTGTGAAATAGGATAGGAAATGCATTTGAAAAGCTATCAGCAGCCTCCCAGAAACCTCACCTGTGAGAACACTGGTGGGTGATACTTTAGAAGGCAGGTAAAGTGAATTTGTTGTGTTTGCATATGCTGGTAGGCTAAGGAAGGGGAAAAAAATAGCTTGTTTGAATCAGGGTGAGGCAGCGCATCTCTGCGCATTAGTTTTTCATTCCAACCCAACCCCATCAACCCCATGAAATATAAGCACCTAACACAACACAGCTTGTAAATGCCTTTTATTCCAGCAACTGAAATTCAGCAGATCGGTAGGTGTGCAGCTGGACATGCTTAGCGTGAATGACAAAATAATGTCACTCCTATATTAAAGATTTGGGTTCATAACAAATTTCACATATGATCATATGTAAGAGAGAAGTCTGTGCAGGACTCTGGTAGCACAAGGCCCCACAGCACACAGTTAGAAACTACACAGATGATACAAATATGGAGAATAACACACAACACTTTTTAAAAAATGCATCTGTCATTATATAAAATCAAATCCATATCCCACTGAAGGACATTGAAAAGCTTTAAAAGATGTTACTAGGCTTTAGAAATGGTCCATGCTGAACTTGGGATATTTTTTCTAATCCTTTTTAAATAATTACTTTCCTATGTTTGGTAAGATTAGCTACGGAGAATTTGTGTTAAGACTCTGTGGACAGGAGTACAGAATTTCAGATAATATTAAGCTGAAAAGGTGGTTTAAAAATTTTTCTGTGATACAAAAGCCTTACATCAAAGAAGCAAATACACCACCACCCCCCTCTCATTTCTTATTTAAGAAATAAATAAGCATACACTGTAAATTCTAATTTTCAGCAAGTATGTAAGCAAATCCTAACTGACCTTGACCTCAGCTTTGCTAATTTTCAAACTCTGACATTTATTCCCTGAGTAGATTGGTTCCCTTCATACCATGTACATAAATACTGCAAACCTTTCCAATGACTTGAATTAGAATGTAAGTAAATAGCTGGTTTTAATCTACATAATATTTTGAGAGCAGACGTTCTGCGCTATGACTATTAAGATATACCCAGCAGCCATTTGTATAATACTAAAACCTCTTACATATATTATTAAATGTAATGCTATCAGCCAGGGCTTGTTTTATGCCACAGAAACTTAAATAATAAAATACAGTGTGGATAAAATCTGCAATAATAGAAACTTAAGCAAAATTAATTCAACTAACAGATAACATCTGGGGGAAAATGTAACGTTATATTGGTAAGTTATGCAAAGCTAATTTTATAATAACTACCACATCTGTGGAACTCATTTATTAGAACACTTTACCAATCTTCTTTCCTGCCGTTATTCTGTTTTAGAAATTTTCCTGTATACCATTTTATTGTCTTTGCTCGGCCTACATTGGTAAAAAGGTAATTTGCTAGCTCTCAACAAAAAGAAAAGCATGTGGGTTTACATACAGAACAGCATGACGCTTTTTATACTTTACCTGGTTTTATGCAAACTTCTACTAGAAAGAATCCTGGGAAAAAAAATGGTGGCACGTGGCTGGAAATTTAGAGCGATGTTTCAACACTGGCTGCAGCCCTCAGCTGTTACTGCTGGGACTTGATGCAGCTGGGGTGGGAAAGTAAAGGTGATGCCAAATGATGCTTCCCACATGATCCTCAGCTGAACGCTGGAGCAGCCTCTAGCCTGCACTAACTTGTCCGGGATCAAGGGGCCTTTTGACACCCCACTGCACCTAGGAATTAGTAAGAAAATTGTATTTAACTTCTGCTCCCTCTGGTCTCTCTCAGAACATCCCTTTATCTGCAGCTGACACTGATCCGTTCTCTGTATTTATGCCACTGCCTTTATTTGTGTTTGAGTTCTCATGGACCCATTGGATCGCAATGTGCATAAAAATATTGCCAATTAATTTTAAGGCATTATCGTCTTGCCAAACTGTTTCTCATGTTTTGGTAGTTACATTGATTCAAAAGGACACTTTGAGTAATACATCTTTGTCATAGTGAATAATGCTCAGATAATGACAAATCCTCAGGATTTTTTTTTAAAGTATATATATTTTTTTAATGTAGGTCAGTGGAAGTAATTTGCCATAAATTTACTCAGATTTCAGAAACTAGCAACGTTTTTTAAAGCTAACTGTAACTGTATAAAACTTACTGTGTCTCCTCTGTTTTTAAATAGATTTTACTACGGAGCCATTGGTGCTATTAAACATGAGGTTTTGTTCAAAGGAAATACAAAGACTTAATTGTTGTTTGGTTTTTTCTCTTTAAAAAGGAAAGTATTGCATCAGAAGGATTCATTTAAATACGTTTGTTGGCTTCAGGCTCTCACCACAATTCATTCGTTCTAATTTTCCTCTGGACTTGTTAAGGAGACGATGTATAGGAAGGAGCAATGCAGAATGGCATTTTTAGGTCACTATATTTTGGCTGTAAAATGTAGTACTGCTCACAAACTTACAAACTTATTACTAAACAAAATATTTTATATTTTGCATTGCAGTTTCAGAGACTTTTAAAAAACTTTTGGCTGAATGTTGAGACTGTTATGGCTCATTAAAGAGACTAGTTCTGCTGTAATTTAGTTATTTCTTAATGATCCAAGGGTTATTATTAGACATGGAACAGATGAGTAAAGAATAGCTCTCTTTAAAGGGACGCAGTGAAGTAAAAATATTATTCTAAAACAGAATCTCTGAAAATCTTATCCAAGCTACAAAAATGTATTTGATTAGTTAGGAATTGATTTTAAAACCCCATCTAGTTTTTTTTTTTTTTAATTATTATTATTTTTTAATTGAAACTAAGTGAATAAATGGAATAATGATTGGATCTAAATAAACTTGAATACTTAACTAAATAACTAAAAGCAGCCATTTTAAGGAAGCAGAAACTATTAGTGAATTCTCATCCAACTTAGCAAATATTTTTCATTGAGAAAATACAGGGTGAGAAACCAGAGAAAACTGAAATATTTGCTAAATCAAAAGGACTCTGATTTTAAAAAGCACTAGAATTTGAAAACAGATCTTCTGGTGTAGTTTAAAAAGAATAGCATCTAGGTTACCATTCTGATGAAAAAAATAAACCATCTATTTCATTTGTCAATATTTAGACACTAGCAGAGGGCTGCAAAATTTGAGTCACAAGCGTTACTGGAAATGCTTCTTGGTCTCTATAAAACCTGCTTTTCTCCTCAGTTAAATTCTGGAAATCTTTCTGTCAGCCTTTTGGGTTCTTATAAACTGGAGATGATACTATCTACCTTTTTTGGGTAGCTCACATATGACAGTGTCCAAACATAACTTCTGAAATACTTTTAGAACTGCAAAAGAGATGTTTAATGCAGTAAAATGAATTGGCCTATCTGTTCTTATATTTTTTTTTGTCATCACTTTTGCAAACTTACAGAAGCTTTCATGGCTTTCAGCATGTTTAATTGTAGCAGGTAAGTGTAAGTAAGCCAAATATCAACCTCGCTGCACTTTCCAAGGTGTGAGGAAATTTAATTTATGGGAGCTGCAATTACCCATTGTGAATTAATGCAGTTGACTTACACCATCCAAGCAAAATCTTGTTTTTTAATAGCTGACTCAGAACTGGAATATCTGCCTGGTATTCTCAGTGGGCACTTCCTTTTTGTAGAGGTCCAAAACATATCGTTATTATACCCTGTTCCTTGCTAGTTTAAAAATGACTTTTGTCACCTTCTTTGGTATGTCACTGATTTAAAAAAACAAACAGAAAAGCCTTGGCCCTTTGGAGGACTCAGGGCAGCCTTCTGTATCACTTGCAACAGAACCTGAGTGAGGATGAAGTGCTGCATCCCCAGCTAGTGCTGGGGCAAAACCACTATTTCTTGGTCTAAACATTCCTGGAGCAGCAGCTCACATGCCAGCTAGATACCAGTGAAGTTCCTATGATCACAGGAAACAGAAATGGGAGCAAGTTGGTCTAGCAACAAAAATTAATTCTTAAGGTAAAGTCACATCTTTAAATCTTTTTCTTAGGGCCTTATTTTATGCAGTGTAACAACAGGCTTACTCCTGCTCACTCCTGTGATTTAATGCCCCAGAAGTCAACAGGGTCATTTGATCCCAAAAAGCAACAAGATCCCTGTTTAGGAGTGACAAATTTGCATTGTGAAGACTGCATGTTACCTAAGCACTGTGTTTTCTAAACTTAATTATCCATATGAGTAAGAAGCCGTAGTGTTATGAAATTATGAAAATCATCTGTTCTTTCCAAGTGTTATAAATGGGATCCCTTGAGATGCAACTAGAAATTAAAGCTGATCTATAATCATTTTCAGTATGCTTTCCAGTTCTGAGCACCTGGATAGTAACCAAAAAAAAAAAAAAAGTATTGTTTTTGCTGTTTGCTAAGGATTTCAATTCTGTTAAGAAAAAAAAATGCATTAAACCTGTGAGCAATAATTAAACCTGAATTACTTTTTTTTTCCCTACATATATACATATATACTGCCAGTATGTGATTGAACTTGCCCCACCTGCAGTTACCCCCTTTCCTCCTTTACTGGAAGAAGGTATGCCTTTGGAGAGCTGTGAATCACTGATAGTATTGCCAATATTTGCAGAGATGGAACCTAAGGTATGGAGTTTTGTTCCTTTTTTTTTTCCTTTTTTTTTCTCAGCTATTTTTCTATGAGTCTCTTACCTCATTTAGTCCTATTGGTGCCCAGTCACTAATAACATTTATTTTCTCCAGAATGTATTCACTTCTAAAATGAATGCTTGAATGTAGTTGCTTTCATTGCATTAACCAGTCAGCAGAGGAGGACGTTAATTTGAGTCAGCATGTCTGGGCTCTTGCCCCATGCAACTTCATAACCTCAGCATCTGCCTGGCCTGGGCAGTGAAGGTGTGATGCTGATAGTCTGTCAGCAGAAGTTCTCAAATGCTGGCTTTGCGTATTGTGGTGAGGGGTCTGGAGAACAAGTCTTACGAGGAGCAACTGAGGGAGCTGGGATTGTTCAGCCTGGAGAAGAGGAGGCTCAGGGGCCACCTTATCACACTCTACAGGCACCTTAAAGGAGGCTGTAGCAAGGTGGGCTTGGTCTATTCTCCCACGTGCCTGCTGACAGGATGAGGGGGAATGGGCTAAAGCTGCGCCAGGGGAGGTTTAGGTTGGATGTTAGGAAGAACTTCTTTACTGAGAGGGTTGTTAGGCATTGGGATGGGCTGCCCAGGGAAGTGGTTGAGCCATCCCTGGAGGTCTTTAAAAGACGTTTAGATGTAGAGCTCAGTGATATGGTTTAGGGGAGGACTTGTTAAGAGTTAGGTCAGAGGTTGGACTAGGTGATCTTGGAGGTCTCTTCCAACCTAGATGATACTGTGATTCTGTGATTGTTGGGTGTCTTCGGGCTGACACTGTTGGGTCCTGTAGAGAACAAGAGGATGCTCTAACTCACATATTTCTTATTATGGTTGGTTGCTGCTAGGGATCTGATCAAGAAGGTCACCTGGAAGAACCCTGTCCAGAGGCAGAGTCCCTTGAGGCAGGTGCTGTGGCTGCTTTCACTGTTGAAGATCAGAAGTCTGCAGTGGATGGAATCCCAAATGAAATTATTGGCAACCTTGAGGTACTATTGCTAGAAAGCTATTCGCTAATTCTATGGTTAATTAGCTAGCTCAGCTTTAATGAATATAAACTGTATTCATGCTAAAGCTGGCAAAAAGCACGTCCATATGCTGTAAGAATGTGAATTAGCCTCTATAAATAGCTCATAGTTTAGTCAGCCTACATGTGACAAGATAAAAAATATTCAGTAATATAACAACATATATCTTCAGCATTACTATGTGTTAAGAAACATGGGCCAAATCCTGCTCTCAGTGATGTCAGTGGTAAAATTCCTCTTTGGGGGTTCAGGACCAGCTGCTAGGATGAAGCATGTGCAATATGTGCTTAATATAAATTATTAGACGCATCTTTGTTACACATCCTCCGATCTGTATCAGGAATAACACACTCATACCAATTCTAGACCTTTGTTGGTAGGTGCGTAAATGTAGAAGAGCTGCCCTAATGGAACAGATCAAGTTTCAGTGTGTGGTCTGCAGACTCTGAAGAGTCTGTGAGTTATTTCTTAAGGGTTCATGAAAGGTAGTAAGCTATTGTCAGTGGGCTTAAATTTGTAGTAGGGTGATCTGCTTCTCCATAGTGTAGTCTGTAAATTGAAACATGTGGAAAGCCAGCAGAGTAGACCATTGTTATTTTGTAAACTCCTCCCTCAAGCGTATGAAGTTATTGATAGTAAACCAGCTGGAGCTCAGTTCAACAATGGAAATACTATGTGGTCTTATTTCAGCGATCAGGTGGCATTAAGCACTTTAAACTTTGTGTCATTACAGTTTTTGATCCAGCACGTAGGATATGGTTGACTGAGCAGAAGTTTATTAAATATATAGTATTATCTGAAAATAGTGTGATATTGATAAATTGCTTTACATGGATTATGTATGAATGGGAAATATCAATTGGAATAATGATACCATCATTAGATCTACCTACTTCATTTCATATTCCCTTTCAGCATGCCTTTGGCAATGGAAGAGAACCTAGCCTATGTTCTCTTACTCCTTTCCATCCCTACAGAACAAAGGAATGCATGATTTTCACTTGACCTTGATTTCATTAGCATCAGTACTAAGAGCTTTTCTTCTTTACAAAACCTGCTGAGATTAAAGAAATGCATTTTTCCCTCTTTCAGAGCTCTGGTTATATACCTAGAAAAAGAAAATCCCTTTTTGTTTTTGAAAGTCGTTCAACAGTTCATCTTTTTCACCTGATTTTCCAGTTGGGGTAGTCCCACCATTAGATTTTTTAGCTGCTACACAATCAAACTCATGGCATTGTGTTGTTATGAAAGAACTGTGATTTTGCAATCTGCATTTTGTCTACAGTGGACAGCTTTTGCTCTCGTTGGGTCTAGAAAATAACTTTCAGTCTGAAATTATAGTGCTAATGCTCAGTGATTGTAACAGCAGCCAGAGTAAGCATGGTGGCAACTGATTTCCAGTGAATGTAGAACTGGAGACAGATTTAAAAAAATGGAGAAAAAAGGGCATCTGGGGTGGCTAGGAGAGGATTAGCCTGGAGGGTCAGTGTTCCACAGGAAAGCATCTAAGTATACTTATAGTTTATACGAGTAAAGGGATAGGAACGTATTTGTTGATACTTGAAGGTAGATGTGATGAAATATGATGAAAGCAATATGCAAAGGCACAAAGTTGAGATAGAAATCCCAGCTTTTTGATGCTGACCAATTATATGGAGAACTTTGGAAAAAAGTTCTCCATACAACAGATGTTGAGGCTATCTAATGACAGGAAGTTTGCAGGATAGCAGCAGTAGGGGTTTCCAGGACTGGCAAAACAAAATGTTCCTAACATGGCGAGTTACTGCAAGTTTTTATGGGCCACATCCATTCACTTTATCAAAATTATATGAAGTCTATTCAGAATATATCTCTAAGTTTTGGGTCAGTTTTGATAGAGTCTGTGAAGGACCTTTGAGCCCTTTCCAATTGTTTCAACAAAACATCACAATTCTTGGAAGGACTGCGTCATTGCACTCCTTCTGTTCCTCATGTATTTTGGCAGTGGTGTATGCCGACACTGAAAAATACACATAAACTCCCCATAAAACCCCAATATTTGTGGTCTTTGTCCCAGTGATCCCACATTTCTAAATGCTATCAAATTAAGAACTGCTACACTTTATCACTGCCACAGATTTCACTAATATATGTCAGAACCTTTGTACTTTTTCCCCCACGAATATTACACTGCAAATTAAGTGTTCAGTATGTACAACAGTCTGGATTTCCAGAATATGATACACATTCATAATTGTGTTTGTAATTAAGAAAGACAAGCAACATCACAGAAATATGTTTTTTTTATTGTTCATTTTCAGTAATGCTTTCTAATTCCAGCCATTTCAATAAAATGTATTACACTAGAGAACAAACATCTGCAGCAAAGGAAAACAGTGGAAACAACCAAATCCCAAAGCAATTTTTCTGATTTGGTGTTTATTGGTAAAGGCTGTCTGAGAATACAGGCAAATTAGCCTATCTCCCAAGACAAGGTTATATGAGAAATGGCTGTCCCAGATCACTTCCCGTTCATGGCAGACATACCATACATCGGGATTGCGCACAGTAATACGATAAAGTGTTATCACATAAGTACAGGCTGAAACACCGTTATGTCTGCAAAACAGGAAGGTGTGTAGGATAATGTCTGTCTTACTGCACCACACTGTGTCAAAACCACAAAGACAATGTGCAGCCTAAGATAGCTCCAGCATTACCACTTTTTTCTTCTGATTTTCTTTACAGGCAGAGATAAATGAAAAGCTGCAAATACAAGAAGAAGCTTATACTTTGAGAACAGAAAAAATAAAAAGTCCTAAATAACCAGATAAGAAAGGTGATGTTGAATTTTACAGAAACTGGGGGGTGGGGGGTGATACACACAGAAGACTGGCTCTCTGCCAGAGCATAATTATTTTTGTATAAAGGAAAATAGTTCACTTAACTTTTACCTAGAAATAGTTCATCCGAGTTCCTCAAATTCACTGTGTTCTGCCAGGATTGTTGTTTAGTTTAGACTTAAGTGGGAGACTGTAAACAGAAGGGTATGTAATACAAGCATGTTGAAGTTCAGTTTATTTCTGAATATAAATCTCAGTTTAAAAAAAAAAAAAAAAAAACTCTCTAGTTTTATTATTTCTTTCTTCCAGTTGTGAAATGCTTAAAAGTTTCTGCTTTTTCAGGATATTTTGCTGGAAGGAGAATACACAGAAAGAAAATGAAATTTTGAGGCATTGCAGATACAATAAGGAGAGAATTTAATTAACATGTAATTATACACTTTTTTCTATAGTTATTCATTAATAACATGTATGTTATTTCATTTTGATTTTTTTCTCTAAGCGTTTAAACTAGTTGCATATATTACACTTCTTTATTTCCACCATACTAAAAATGCATAAACGAAGAGTATGTACTTTTACAGTCTTCCCAGAAATAATTCCTTTTGATTTCCGTGGATTTTTTTCTGGAATACATGTACGTGTAACGTTTCATCTGAGAATGCATTTCCTATTCCTCTGTATACTAACATCATTCCATATTTTGTCAGACATTATAGAAATGTTGTAAACACAGGAGGAATCCAACTATATAATAATTGACATCAGAAGAACTGGTTTAACGTCTATGTTTCAAAATAGTAAACTATACTAATTGCTATGTTACAGAACTCTGTGCCCTAGAAAGCATGTTAAAAACAAGTCATGCTTTCAAGCGTAAGGGCTGGATTGCATGTTTAAGGGAATATTTACGAAACAGAATATTTTATTCGTTACAATTTTGTATTTGTTTCTCATTAAGTAAATGTTAGGCTTTGTTTCACTTCACCCACATTTTTATGGTGATAACGAAGAACGTTCACAAGCCTGACTCATCCAGGCAAAAATGACAATAACCTGAAATAGTTTGCCTGAAAGGTCTTGTTTGTCACTGCCTGCCTTGCATGGGTGTGCTCCCTGGTTGTGCTCAGAGCTGAGAGCACAGCCAGAAGGGGGCGTTGCCTGCACGTTGTTCATCAGAAAGAGCTCCCAGAATTAAAAGACAATATTCAATAGCTGTGTTTGAGTGCCAGTAGCCTGGAAGTACTCTTTAAAGTACATGTCAGATGTGTGGGCACTGGACTCCTGTAAAGAAGTTGTGTGAGATGTTAAGTGGGCAGAATATTTTAGTTGGTCTCATGTGTTGAGAAAAATTCTTCCCATTACATGATCAGAAGTAAGCTCTATAGCAATTCACTAAAAGTTTTCTTCATTTTTCTACCTAACATGGTCCAACAAGTTAATAAGAGCTTCCTTTCAGCTGTAAAATCTACCTATTCCAATTTGAACGGTGAGGTAATTCATGAGGATTTATTGGTTTATCCTAAAAAACATCCTTTAAAATTTCTAAGATCCATGGTTATGTTCTGCAATGTTTTATTGCTTTGAAATGTGACTCTTTTGTCATGAAAAAATTCTAAAATCAAAAGGACCTTTATTTTGATACATAAATTAATTTCCCAGAGCATTATGCGAATGTCACAAATTTCCCTGATTTTGAACTCAAAGGTGTGAACATAACTTCTGAAAAGAACTGTCTGTATGGAAGGGGAGGAGTATTTCTTGAAATTTTTGCTGAAAACGTTATTGTCAATTTAGCACTTCAGTCAAATCTGATGACTACAACATTCTTGCTATATGACAAAGCAGAAAAGGTATAATGATGATTTATGTTAGGACCAATGCTAAACAAAGGCTTTTGCCCGTATTTCTTCCTCCCTCTCCCATATTTTGTAGAACTTCTGGGAAATTTTGAAGAGCTTTGAAGATGAGAAGTTGTATATGAACATCAAGTATTACTGCAATGATTTGTTAGCAGTCGCTCCTAGTACATATGCATAACAGCTGAAGTACGGCAGAAATTCCACGTGGAGTTCAAATCCCACAAACCATACTTGCAGCTCTCTTCCTGCTGACTAATAGTATTTGTAGCTATCTTCCTGCTGAAATAATGCTACCAATAAAAACAGCCCCAGGGATTTTTTTTTATTATTATTTTTGAAATGGGAGGGGGGGATAGTTAAGGAGACTAAGGTGAAGGCAGGAAGACGAGCAAAAGGTGGACATGACATCTCTCCAAGCAGTCAGAGTACATGCTCTGACACAGCATATGAACATCAACTTGAAGAATCCTTTCATGTCTTCAGAATGTTAATATGAAATGCAAAACGTCATGCTTTGGATGGATGGGTAGGAACAAAATGTTCAGATGCAATATGGTGCATTAAGAACAGTCTCCAGCCTGTATTCCTGGCTTTTCCGTTGGTTTAAATCAGGCTTGCTGTTTTTAAAGTCTCCCGTGTCATGTTGAGTTACTGCTATAGTTGTCTCTAAAAATAATTATACTGTCATTTCTGGGACCTACAGTTGAGGCTTTTGAGGCTTTGGCATAATAATCTTTGATTTTTTGTTTCACTACTGATGTGACATAGTTCTTTAAAATATACATACTTAACGTAGTTCTTAACGGGTTCCACCCTACAAAGCTTTCAATTTAAATCAGGCAGATGTAGAAAAGAAAAAAGATGTTACATTCTGCCTTGTCTCCCAAATAAGCAAGGATTTTCTAGGGGAAAAGGGATAGAAGAAACACTATAGTTTTTTCTCTGTAAGGTATAATATTGATGCTTTTTAGCATCAATATGGTAATATCCTGGTCTCCTCTAGGATTTTATAATGAGATAGTGAACAACTAGTAATTATCCTCTAGCAAAAGAAAAGCTTTTCAAGCAATGCTTTCCTGTATTACACTGACAGAGGATGGAAGTTTAGAAAAGATGGAAAGCAGCACTTTCCTGCATTACATTGACAGAGGATGAAAGTTTATAAAAGATGGAAAACAGCTTTCCTAATAAGAAGCTGGCTGGAAAAGATGGAAAAGGGGGCAAAAAGAGAATTATTTTTTTTACCTGTTCCATAGTGTTTTGCCATGACCTTTTCTTCTCAAGCCTCGCTTCTCTCACCAATACTTAATTTGAATTTGAAAATTACCACATTGTTTCCTTCCTAAAATTATAACTGACATTCCTAGAAAATTTGCTTTCCCAGAAAAGCACTGTGCGTGGGCTTTGTATTCAGCTTTCCACAAGTGAGAAAAAGACATTTTCTTCAATAATCTACCCTGCCAACGTGACCACAAAATGTGTGCAAAGTCAGCATTTGTCCATTTAAATCAGATTTTTAAGCACATGATTCAGTTAACCACCAGTATGCATGCATCCAGGTGTAGGTATTGTACTTATTTGTAAGGATTTATTTTGTGAGTAGTATATTGTTTTCATTGATGGGCTTTGTTTTTCAGTTCATACTAACTGTGTAACAAGAAACATATTTGTATTACACACACTTGTTGGTTGTGTGGTTTTTGTTGTTGTTGTTTTTTGTTTTTGTTTTTCCCAGTAGTATATTTTAAACTTTTTCAGTCCTTATTTCTGCCTTTTCATCCTGTAAGGTGCTTGGACTCCTCTGTTAAGGGATTCCTGTGAGATCTGTCTCATTCTGGTGAGATTTTCACAAGCCACTGCAGCGAAGGGTGTTCCGATGCTACTTCTGCTGTACAGAGCCTCCCTAGCATAGGCTTGATCCCAGGTTGTAACCCAGAAGTAAGTAGAAGACAGCTGCTCAAAAGAAAGGATACTAATATGGGCTGCACCCTCTCATCTTCAGCTAGCCCCTGTTTATGGCAGAGTGTGGATATGACAGATGAACCTCAACATGGGTTGCATGCATATCAAGGGTCGTAAAGAATTCATAGGTAGTGCGTGTAGTTTTCCTGTGGTGTCGAAGGGATGTTTACACTCTTACTAGCACTAGTAAGAGTGATGCGTCATCCTGAAGAAAAAGATACTGCAGGTAACTGGGCAATTTACCCCCTTTCCTCCCTCGTATTCATTTCAGGATGATGTTATACCTGCCCCTGCCACAATGTGCATGGTTCTCCTGTACACTGGTGTAGGGAGGAGTTGTGCCCAAGGTGAGATCACCTCCATTTCTCTGCAACAGTTGACAAGGAAGTGACAGCAGTGACAAAACACTCAGGCTGCGTTGCTTGCCGTGAGCAAATCAAAACTCATGCGTGTAACTCTTCAACCTATTTTCTTGGGGCACTTTAAGCATGCAGAGCAAGCGACAAACTCTAGCAGTTGTGGATTTAGATTACGTGTTCATGCCAAAAAAGAAAAAGAAAGAAAAAAAATCAAAGGATAGTTGCAGTGACTCATGTAATTGAGAGTCCCATTCAGATGCAGAGCATTAAAGAGAACTTTGGAATTAGTAATACTGCAGAAAGAACAGAATGTAAAATATTTCCCGGACAGAAACAGATTGGCTTTTTACATAGTAGAATTAGTGGCCCACTTCTTTAAAGCTTTCACTGACAAAGCAAAGACTGCATTAAATATGAGGTTTGTGTTCACACAGAACTCTACGCTCTCGCTGTTGGCTAGGCATGCCAGTAGTTGTACTTGTTTTGCACATTTAAGCAGCTGATTAAAAGAACGAAATAGGGAAAGGTCAGTTGCTGTTAAGTGCTCTGGTACAGTGGAATAGGGGGAGTAAGAAGGCAGACCTATGGACTGACAGAAGGAGATTGTTCAAAGGCTATGAGAAAGAATGGTCTATAAAAGTTATTTGCCCAAAATGAGGATAGTAATTCTCCATTCCTGGAGGAAAGGCTGTTGGAGTTGTATTGATTTGGGATGCTGATGTGGATGGTGATTCAGGTTGGGAGATTCTGCAAGTGCTTTGAAGGATCTTCTGGATGAGCCAGTTCCTCCAGTGACTGCAAAGAAGGCCTTAGGATTTTGCCTCCCTCCACTGAGGTTAGTCCCTGTGAATATTTCAAATTTTTAACTGAGCTCTTTTTTTTAACCCTTTCTAAAGGCATCTCATACAACTTTTTCTTAAAATCTGAATATTGTCTCTTTTAAACTCCAGCCAACACAATTTCTTGTCTAAACAGTCTGTTTTTATGATTGCATTCAATAGAAGCATAAGAAATGTCATGGCTGGACAGAGCAGGATCCAAATCTCCCAGCATTCTTCCTTTGTCATTGTTTATGAGACATGTTTAGGGAAAAGTATAGGAACAGGATACCCTTCAGACTGAGGGATCCTTGGCATAGCCTTCTATTGTTCAGTGGTTTAGAAACTTGTGGAGCCCAAGTATGCTCCCAGACCAAACAGTGGTTTGAAATTAAGTGATATTTTCTCCATAAATATGCCTAGGCCTTTTTTGAACTCTAGCTACTATACTATTCCATGGCAACAAGTTCTATGCTTTAATTTTGTATCGATTAACACAAGCTTAAATGGATGTAAAAGGTTTGAGATTGCTTGTCCCAGAGTCTATCAAGTTCCTCAGTTTTATCAGTCACTTCTTTGTTTTCAGGTAGTACAGGCAGTGAGCCACGAATTTGCTGACTTCATGTACACAAGGAGCAGCCAAGATCCAGGTAAGAAAAAGTTTATGTTGCACTCTGCTAGGCTGAACCTAAATTTCTGTCACTGGTCCTGTTACTTGTCATTTTTTCTTGTGCCATACCTCACTTAATTATAATCTTCCTGAGCAGAGATGTATCATTCAGTTTTTATCTGTGTCAACAGACATACATGTGCCCACCCGCCTGAACACAAAAATACTGACAAAGAGGGGAAAAATGACCATGTTTGGTCTGTCAGGCAGACGCTGGATATTTTGCTATTGTAATCACCAGAGTACTAAGTTTATTTGGAGCATATAAGTCGTGAATTACCATGCAGCTCCAAGAGGAAAACTTTGCCCTTTGATTGTTTTCCAAAGAAATGTTCTCAATTTATTTTCTGCCAAATTCATATTACAGATCATACTAACAAATTTTCCCAAGCCTTATTGACCTCCTCCCTTCTTCACAGTAGTAAAAGAAATTTCACTCATCACTGAGAGATGTTGAAGATTGCTAAATTTTGCTGATTTAGGAGCTGAGTGAATGAGACAAGCAGACAAAAATGTAGATACTGCATTGCAGAAGGCAGTTAGCTCCATTAATAAGAAAAATAGAACTTGTGATATTTCTGCTATTTTGCAGTACATTAGTAAATTGCCTGCTAACAAGCTAAGTAGTGGGTCTAAAGCACTCCCTCATGTCAAAGGCAGAAGTGTGCGTACTGTACTGGGGAGTATTGATTTGGGGAGGACTTTTTTTTTTTTTTTTTTTTTTAACTTCCCTTCCACCTGTAAATCTGTGCTTGCTTTTGCCAAAGTAAGACAATGTAACAGTGATGCTTAGTACATAGCATAGAACTAGGTCTTTGATTTTGATTGGAGCCGAGTTCTCAATGTTCTCTCCTACTAAATCATTTGTAGGCAGCTGGGTGAGCCTGCCAAGCCTTTAGTCTGAGTAAGGATTTTTGGTTTGTTTGTATTTCTCAATGAGCAAGGTGAGACAAAGCAAGCTCTTTACTGTACTTCCTTACTATTCACATTTACAGTCATCTGCAATTGCCACGTGACAAATTTGCCACTAATACAATTTTTTTATTGAAGTTTTTCTACCAGGTGATTTTTGGATAAAAGTAAGGTTCAGATTTTGTGTTACTTTTGCTCTGAGATCATTTCATCTTTTTTTTTTTTTTTTGAGATGTCACATTTCAACTTAACAAATTGCCAGTTCATGCAGCTCAGATGCCCCAGAAGTCATTTCCAATGATGTACTGTAAAAGCAGGACTGATACAGATCTCTTGACTACATTTCAAAGACTTACCTTTGGATTACAGGGTTGCAGATGAGACTTTAATTCTGTAGAATTCAGTGGAGAGATGCTCATTTACCACCAAAGGCTCCTGCTTTTTTTTCCCTACTTCATTTTTTTTTGTGAGTAGTAAGGATGTGGGGTCTGATATTCTGTAGAAGTAGTTGAATAAATTATTCAATTGAATCCAATAACTATCAATGCCAATATTTCTGTGAAATAATTCTTGTGCAGGGCTGCATGATGGTATGTCTTTGTTATATATGACACCTTTGTATATTGTCTCCCAAATATAAATCAGGGGGATCATCTTTTACAATCTTAATCTCCAGGCTTACTCCCTGCTCAGGTGAAACGCTTCTTGATCTCAACAGGCATATTTACCTTGGTGTGATTCAAGTGTAACAGAGGCGTGCTTGGGCTGCTTGAGGCTGTCAGGCTGGGACCAGCAGCAGCCTGGCATTGGCGGGGTGGAGGTAGACTCAGGAACAAGGAGAACCGGGCTGAGCCCTGCTCATCTCCACTGCACCACTGCCTGCTCCCCCCGTGGTGTGGGATGGGCACAGATACTTCCACACGATGGTGGAGTCTCGTACCCACTGGTGGTTTTCTGAGTAAATACAGAACTCGGAGAGTGAATCTGTCAGTCTCAAAGCAGGAATTTGGATCTGTTTGTGATCCTTTGTGCTATGCTCTTAACAGGTTAAACATGTATGTGTCCTACATTATTGAGAAACGTTGTGATTTAGATGGATGCACATTATTCCCCAGCTTCGTGTCAACAATCAAATAGGAGCTTTTGGATTTATTAGTTCCCAGTTCTACATCTATCTTAAATCATTATCATATAATAAGAACTCTATATGGTGCATTGTCAATAAAACCTAATATTGAGAAGATTACTGATCATCTAGTGCAAATGGAGAGCACTGTAAATGATTTAGAGAATATGTGTCAAACGTTAAAGCTATCTAATACCTTCTAAAGTAAGTTGATAGTCATAAATCTAAGATAAACGAACTGTAAAACCACTTAAGAAGAAATAATACTTGTTTAATCAGGCTTCTAGTGAAAAGACTAGGTAGAAGAGAAATTCACAAGGAATTATTAAATATTTTCTAATTCAGTACACTTTTGATAGGGAATACAAACGCACATTTGATAAGCAATTTTGATTACCTAAAACTATCATTGTAATAGTGCTAAATTATGACCCCACTGGAGAAGAAAAAAACGGGGGGGGAGGGAAGAAAAGACTAAAGGGCATCTCTTTTATGGCTTACTGAGCTCTCATTTTTCCAGATTCAGCACTGTGTATATCAGATGGAGATATAAAGGGTATTCATCGGAATTACCATGCTGCTGGATCATGGGTGGTGTGTTGGGTTAGTTTCTGTTGATTTGGCTGTTCCTGGTCACTGATAACAGAAGTGGTGCATTCATTTAATGCTTTCCCCTGGGAGGAACAAGACATTTATTGGGGAAAGACTGCTTAAAATGATAGTGGAACAAACTCTGTGTTGTCGCATAGCTGAGTGGTAACTTACATAAGCTTAATCTGTTGATTTCAGAGTATTTTCTGCACTTGGGTCCTGGAGAAAATTGTTTCACTTTCTATTTTTTTCCTCAGATCCATTTGAAAGGTAAGTGTAGGTAGCAGAAAAAATAGGTTATGATTTTCATTACCAATGTTCTGATAATTCAGTTCTTACGCAGAAAAAAAAACCTTCCATTTTCTTCAGTAGGTTTTTAAGTCCACTTGTTAATTCTTGTTCATCCTTTTGGCTTTATGATTGCTCAGAGCTCAGCATCACTGCCAGCATTTATTAGACCTTGACACAGAGCTTTTCTTGGAGCAACTGTAAAAGTATATTTAGCCGTGGAGAAATCTTTCCAAAGAGAAGTGTGCTGTGACTCATGTGACTCTGCTGTTGCTCTGTTGACCTGAGCAGACTTACTCATGGTTTACATAGTGGCACATAGTGGCAGACAAGATTAGATTCTGGCTTGGTGCCCTTTTTTTTTTTTTTTTTTCTTAAAGATAAAATGGATATCCAACTTCTTTTCCCTTATTATGAAGAATAAGGACACATATGTTGCTTTGATTGGAATTAGTGAATGAAATGCAAATGCATCTGATCCATTTATAACTCATATTGCAAAAATAACCAGGGGATGATATGGTTGTGGCTAAACTGCATTACTTAGTACCTGTTTTATTCTTGCTCCCTCTCAGATAGGAAAACCTACATGTGAGCCATTGCTATGCACTGGCTGTAATCACATCAAGTTGTACAACAGTGTTTGAAATGGTTGTTTTCATAATAGGATGCAACCTTGGTAGCAAATTTCCGTTAGCTGTGAATTTTTGAGATACTGAAGTCTAGCTGAAAGAAAGCTTGTTGATTTACTTTCTGCTTTCTCTTCAGCTGGTATAAAGCTAGAGTCATTTTACTAAAATAGCAGCTAAACTGAGCATACGTTAAAGAAAGATCATTTCAGAAATCTGTCAGCCTTGAGAACATTTCTCTTCCATTTCCTGAGAATACCAAGGAATAATTGGTTTTGCTACTCTGAGGCAGATCAGCTGTAGCGTGTATAAGTTGTATGAGTGTTGTGTGTGGTATATTAGTTAGTAGTTTAAAAAAAACAACAAACAAACACACACACACACACAAAGAAAAAAAAAAGAAAACAGAAGCAACAGCTGGGCTGATTTTTACCTGATGTTTGGTTGTTACAGGAACTGCAGTGTCTGGCCTGCCAGCAGAGAGAGAGCGGGGAAAAATTCACACATGATCAAGACTTCCTCTGAGAACTGGAAGCTGAAGCCTTCATTGCATAAAGTGGTTCGTGAAAAGGACAATTGCTTGCAAATGATCAAATTTTATTTTGATGTCAGTGCTTTTTAAGATCTGTGTTTTGGGTTGTTGGATTTTTAAATGCTGAAGGGTCACAGAAAGATGGTGATAACAGGTAACTAGTAGCACGTACTATTTTATGGAAGTTAATTTGTCAACAGTCTGGGAGATGTAGATGGCTCACACTGATTGGAAGTGGAAGGCCACTGGGATTTGATTTGTTTTGCATTGTAGGACTTGAATGGGCAGCTGAATGAGCAAAGAGGACTGGAGGGCGCATCCTTGGCTTACGTCAGCTGCAAAAACTCTGTTCAGGGGGCCCTAGCAAGGCCTGCACTGGTTGAGGACCTGCCCCCCTCCTCGTCCAAGCTACATATGGGAGACACCCTCATTCCTTACTTATAAGCAGGCAAATTACACATGCACACGCATTCCTCTGTTATAATTAAATTAAAATCTTACTAATTTGGAGGCATACCTATCACGTTCTCTTCTAGGAAGAAACTATTATTTCTTCTTTTATTCCTTTCTGCTTGAATCCCAAGCTATCAAGGGCTTTCAAAGAAAAAGGAATTTTTTCTTTAGAAAAAAGACTATTCAAATTATTCATGATTTATATCAAGAAGGGACCTTTCCTCTTTCAACTAGTAAAAAAGGGGGAGTTTGATCTTTCTCAAAATCATTTGAGAACCTTGTAGATTTCTTTCCAGAGCTAAAACTTTCTTACAAAGCTTTGGATATTCAGCAGAATAATGACTATTACATAATTGAAGCTCAATACAATACCATGGGGCTAATAAATGGTCTCCTGGTTCTATAGAAAATGTAACAAATCATAATAGCACTTATTGGGACTAGGCCAGGCACAAATGACAAAGCTGCTTTTGAAAGCGAGTTCTGGCCAGAAATATTCTTGGACCAAGATCATTTTCTTGACTGTCAGGGGTACATTTACTCCCTTTAATTTTCAGCCTAGATTTTATGTTGATCCTGAAACACTGAATAAAATCAAGCCCGTCAGTGCTGCTACTGCAGCTGTTACAGATGTAAATGCAAAGAAGGCTATTTAAGACAAGTCTGTTTCCCTGAATATGTTATTTTGAAATTATGCAGATTATACAAAAAAATGGCTTGATATGTCCTTATTGTGCCTTTTTAAACGAAGAAAAGGATGCTACACTGTTAAGTGGTTTATTAAACTTTCCGATCACAGCTCTTTTACTTAGAAAATAATTGTTCTATTGTGTGCTGTGAAGCTGCCTGTAAATAATTGACAAAGGGGTATACTGCTTTGGGTTCTCCATAGAAAAAATATCAAATTCAATTGATTAATCAAAAGGGGCATTCTTTGATGGAAGGAAACCTTTACAAACTTTATTAAAAATATTGAATGAACCATGAGCAAAGTTCATAATCTAAGCTTCTGCTCTACTTTCTCAGGTGTGCTAGCTGTTGTGTTAACTTTCAAAAATTCTCATAAAGCAGGACATGAGATGTATTTAAAAACAAAACAATACCCAACAACAACAACAACAAAACAGACCAGTGTATTCCAAAACCTCTATCGTGGTCTGTCTCTGCTATACCACCGTGACTTCACTGGTTTTCCAGGAGTCACTCTATTTCCACTGCAGAGACAGGTATAATAAAGGTTTGGACCTTTTTTCAGTGAGTAATGCAGAAGCATACTTGTATCATCTGTCGTTTCATGGAGAGCTTTTCTCTCATTCTGAAGAAAGAAATGAGATTGCTATCATTAAAAACAATCTATGTGTGACCTGCAGGCTGAACAAATGTCTCCTCTCTGTTTCAGGACAACAGCAATCATGTGGACAAATGCAAGATGGCTGGTGAGAATGAAGACAAGTGAAACAGAAACTCCCAGACCTGGGAGGAAAACAGAGCTCAAACAGGTGAGTCTACCATATCTCTGTCTTGTAATCAACACTGAAATCATGGGCTGTATGTGAAAGATTACATGTAAAGCCATTGTGCCATTCAAGGTCAAATGCAAGTGGAAGTTAGCAAATAAGAGGTTTGTATTTAGCAGTTGGAAAAAGGTATTGGAACTTGTCCACGTACCAATACGTTCCATCATTGGAATGTATTTTGATCAGAGGAAAAAAATAGAGGGACAGAATAACTGAAGATACGTAAGTAAAGTGTGAATAAGAGAAACTGAAAACACTGATTGATCATGGTACAGTAACCTGACGTCATTTTTGATTAGATCACAAGGTAGAGTAAGTTCAGACTAAGCATTGATACAGCAGAGTGAAAGAAAGGTGTCTTCTGTAGCCACCAGGGCTCAAATGTTCAAACTTGCATCAGACCCTGGGCAAGCAGTTATTCCAGGAAGCTATCTAGGACACCCATAAAAAAAATGTGGAGATTTGATGGGCATCCACTGCACTCTTTGTGGTGCCTTCCTATATTGTCCCCTCCTTGTCCTTACTCCAAGCAGGGATGGCAGCACAGAGCTGATGGTTATGCCTCAGTCAGAACACAGCCCGAATCTCACAGAGGGATTCAATAGGGATGTCACAGAGGGATATCAATACAGTATCAACTGTATTGATAAAAAGGTGAAGCAGGCAATGTGTAGATTGCATCCTGTTGTGACATCTAGCTGGATGGTGGCATGGACAGCAGAGTAGGACAGAGGTATCTGAGGGGACCCAGCCGAGGCTGTCAGAGACCTTTGTTTTGGAGGGAGCAATTCGTAATTTCTTTAGAGTAGCAACCCTGACCTGATGGGGAAACGAAAAGCGAAACCCCCAAAATTGAGAGCTTTCAGACTATCACTCTTGCCTGCAAGGAGCGTGTGGGTATCTGTCAGAAAAGCCTCTGTCTCCAGTTGAGTCCTTCTTTGTTCTGGAAATAAAGACTGTCCTTGAGAGCAGGGAGATTTGCAGTGAAGATCCTTGTCAGTCCCAGCTAGAGTTAAATACAGAAGCTCCAAAACTGGTTTGTTGTTCAGGTCAAAAGAGATTGTATTATTTAAAAAGCATCCTTCGTACGTGCCATCCCATCGTATGCAGTACCGCTGTTCAAAGCGCTTATTCTAAATACTCCATTCTGATAAGTCAACACATTAAAGAAAAGACAATTAAAAAACCAAACCAAAACAAAACTTTCATAGAATGACAGATAAATGTTGTCACAGATTAATACAAATTTTAAAACCTGAACATTATCCTCCAAGCGGGAAAAGCTTCTAAACTCAAATTCAAAACAAAACAGAAAAAGAAAAAAAAAAAAAAAAAAAAAGCAGAGAAAAATCTCTGACAATTGCAGAGAATCATTTATTAGGTCTCTGTAAGTGATCATTTACATGAAACTTGCATTTAATCTAGTATTCAGCTCTTCCTTTTTATCTTCTGGCTGCATGTGTTTGTGGAGAACAGTGGTCCCTCATCCTGTCTCATCTCCCTTCCTGTATTGAACTGCTTTTGTTCACTTGGCACATATGTGGAGTGGGACATAAAGAAGACAAGGGAATTTTGAATATTCCAGTTTTGTTTCTCTCTGATTCTGGCTTAGACCAAAAGCAGAAATTGTCAATTTCTGTTTTAAAGGTGAGCAAAATCTTTCAAGAACGTATAAATTCTCAGTTGTCTTCTTGTCAGTAGAGCCCTTTAGGGTCAAACCACAGGGGAAGAGCCTACAAGACACAGAATTACCTAGGGTAAACAGAAATACTATCTTCATTACACTGTGCAGATGTAACTTTCAGATGTTAACAATGGCATGTGAGCTAAATACAGACATTATTTACATGTGCTGCTATTGCTAAAGCACCTAAGCCAGGTACTTCAGAATAAGCCCCATGAATCTGAATGTGTAGCGATCACTGAAGTCATTGCACTGTAAGCTCAGCTCAATATCCTGAATTTCTGCTTAAAACTGTTACACGCCTGGATTGAGATGTAAAGCCATCTCCTCAACCTGCTCTTAAGAGTGTCTTGCTCGGGGAAGTTGACATGACTCGAAATTCTCTCCCCTCTCGCAAGAATGTGTCTCACGGCTTCTCCAGGCCACACTGACACCTCTTGACAAATGTAGGTTGCTGGCAGAGGTATAATGCTAGCTTTGGAGATCTCCAAAAATCTGAGTGCTTCTCTCCTCATGTATCCCCCTGTGGTGTGTGTCCAGCTGCCCTGCTAGTCTCCACCACTGATTTCTGTGAGTGACAAGCAAAGGCATTTCAAATTGAAAGGAGGTATTTAAATACTGTCAGGAACAACAGATAAAATGACCTCAAACAATCCCACATAAAGTCCTTTGTTATTTTCAAAGCGCTTTCCCAGCTTGACACCTTTGCTTTTTCATATCCAATATAAAATTCAAAATGTTTTATTCCAATGCAATCCATGAATATAAAATATAAATGTATCAAACCTCACACTGCCTTTTTTGTGCTACTGCTTTGAAAAGGGACCTGAAGTAAACTCAGCATAAAGATCAAGAAAATTATTGAGAAAATTCCACTTCTCAAACTTCTGTTCCCCTTTGTCTTGTTCTCATTTAGAACAACTTTTCTCAAGCAAGCGTGCGTACAGCAGTAAGGAGCAGTGTGGATCCAGAAGGCTCTGTGGACTACTGCTCAGGACCGCCTGGGGGTAAGCTGACTGAACTGTTTCAGGTATCACTAGCACTGGGGACCTACACAGACAAACTGTTTTTCCAATACCCTCCCAAAAGCCCCATCTCTCTGATACTTGCACTGCTCCTCCCCACGGCTATGGCTACTTTCCTTTACGTATCTTGGTGCAATACAGCAGTTATTGCCAACCTCTTGCCAAAGCCAGAGATTGCTCTTACACAGCCTCCCAAGGGGCATAAGCTTTTCCACTTGCCTTTACACATTCTAGGCTTTGCATTGCTCCAATGTGACCCTCAAAACCAATCCCTCCTTTCTTTTTGCTATTGCCATTGCTTTGTGTTACTGATGTTGCTGGAGAACTGATGTCCGCATTAGGCTGCCCTCCTATCTGGTGAACATGGCATCCCGCTGCCACTCGCTGTTTTACAAGGTTTCTTCTGTCCTGCTCAGTACGTAGGTGAGCACAAGAAACAGCACAATGATCTTCATGCTGTGCACAGCTTAGCACAAGTTGATGCTGTTTGTCAGGAGCAGGAAAGAGAGCTGGACTGAAGAAAAGCAGTCCCATTTCTCAGAAAAGCCTCTGAGTTGTAAGTTCGGAAAAATAGAAGGGTGCCAGTAAAGGAGGCAGGAGCTGGCAACGCCTCCTGACACCTTTTTTGTAGGATGCAGAAGGTCAGTAGAAATGGCCTGTTGTGGTATGATGCCTGAAAGGCTGATATCTAATTTCTGCTTTCTTTTCTGCTAATTGCTGTGATTAAATGACTTAGAAATTACCTCAGAGTAACTGAGTACAGGTTTGGGGCCTGTGTGTACACAGAAATTGAAGTAAATCAGTTTAGAGATGTTTGGAATAGGCAGAGCTGGCAGCATGCAGCAGAGCGCATAGCTGGGTGAATTTGCATCTTATTTAGTACATTAAAAAAAAGTTTTAAGCTGTGACTTGGAGAAGTCAAGCCAGGAACAATAAGCTTGTCTAGAGAATTCTGGTATTAGAAACTGAAGGATATGGAACCCTGTCCAAGGTAAATATTGACGTGACTCAAGATGAACTAGTAAAACATTTAATGAAGCTGAAAATAAGGCATCTGGGATAGATGTTTATTGTTAAAAATGAAACATTTAGTAAAAGTAGCATAGTGATGATGGAGGTTATTCATAGGGAAGCCAAGCTGGAGAAACAGCATCTTCTGAAAGAAACTGACTCAGGTTATTTGTGAAACATGGAAAAAATTAGAATTGTAACAGAGCTAAAAATGTAAGTGAATAGCAGATGGTCATTATGGACATTCAGAGTGGATTTTGGAGAATGAATCATACCCAGGGACAAATTACTCAGGTGTCCAGAATAACTCTATTGACTTTGACGGATTTCTCTGTATGTGCCTTTGTGTAATTGAGAGTTTACTCCCTTATGCTGTGTGAGGACTGAATATAAAGAGACTTTGAGAAAAAGTACTGACTTTCATTCATTCCAGTATCATTCTCGTGATGATAGAGAATAAGTTGCATTAACTTCATGAGGCATTTCAGGAACATATTAGGAGCTTTTCCCTTTTGTGCAGTAGGGGGAAAAAAAAATAAAACCTTGCATGATGCTGTGAAAATAATCAGAAAAGCCCCATTAAACTGGAAATGGGAATAAATTGTGGTGCTGTATTAGAAGTCTTACTCACATGTAAGTCTATGGATTTATCAGAATGCTCTACTGTAAAATCCACTGAGCCAACGTTACATTCATGTGTTTACTCATGGTATAGATATCGGGGAAGAGATACCAAAAATTGAAATTGTTTGCTTAGGAGTGCTCTGTAAACCAACTTTATTTTACTTCAGAAATGCAAGGCTAATGCATGAGGACTGATTACATACAAAAAATATATTTGATCTGTTCACACGTAGCATGCCTATAGTTGTTGCGGTATTGCTATGTTTATATATATATATGTGTATATATATATACATATATATATAAAACAATTAAATAAACTATCCAGTGCTTATGCATATACAGCTGTAGTCTCCCAGGTGGCTTTGAATTGCAATACAAGGACATCCATTGTCCCAGGCCAAAGGCACAGGATAATCCATATAGCTGATGGTGTGGCAGAAGGAATGAAGGCAGGGCAGGAGGAGAAGCAGAGAGGGGTGCCCAGGAAAGACAGTGACAAAGGTGTCACCTTCACTTGGACTAGATTTAGAAGATCTGCAAGACAACCCATCCACTTCCTTCATTTCCTATTTATTGAGAAGGTTTCCTTTGGCTTGTCTTGCTGTTACAGCCACGATCAAATCATAGTTGCTGGTAGATCTTATTACTAACATAAACAAATAGCAGATCAGTTTGTTATTGTGCCAAGCTTCAAAGCTGAAGCTGATCTTAGAATCAGTAGGCTCTACCAGTATTGACCTGTAATTGAAATACAAAGGGGATGTTGATAATATGAAACATATGTTGCTTATGCAGATAACTGTGCATCACTTAAATGCTCTCTGCAAAGCACCTCAATATGTTGATCAACCAGCAACCTCAGCCAAAGTAACACTGGAGTCTCAGATTGCTTGAGATGCTACACAACGGTGCAGTGACATCCAAAACTGTGCTTCTTCCCAGCTCTGCTTGTCCCAGAGGGGGGTGTGGCAGATAGGTAGAATTACTGCTGGCTTTGCTCCCTGAAATTCATGTTCAGCAAAAGTCTACTCTGAGCAAAGCAAGAATGATTTTATTGATTTAAAAATAGTTTAAAAGCAAATAAGGACACAAACATTTTCTTATTTTTGTGCTCATAAAAATATTATTTGATTAGGTCACTATCAGAAACGCAAAGCTGCTAACTAAATGATGTGTACAAAACAAGGTATGTACAATGCCTTAGTGGTGGGTGAGATGTTTCATTCTGCTTCTTTACCTTTAAACGCCAGCCAATATAATTTTTGTTTTTGTCACTGTAGCATTTGGCATTATTCCCATATGTACAGACTGCAACATCTGCAAGTCTTAAAAATTAATATAAAGTTCCATCATTGTATAAGCCTTGCTTATTTTAATGGTCCTAAACCAGCAACTTTGCTTCGGTGCAGGCAGTCGATGCAGTGCTCTACTTGTACCAAGCAAGCTGCTCGGTGGGGCTGGTGGTGTTCATGTCCGTGTTGTTGGTATTCACATGGATGATGATTGCAGTGTAAGGTCATGCTCTTGAGGAACACAATGTGGACATCAGTTGCTATCACACAGAAACTTAATAGGTTACTAATAAGTGGAATTATGGGTAATCAACTGCAAAGCAATTGCATTGATTTGAGGAGAGCTTATTTCTGTCACCTAGTGTCCACAGATACCTAGCAGGAAGATTTTTTCCACAAGTGGAGGCTGACCTTGCTTCTGGAGGTTTTGTTGTCATTATGCAGTGATCACAAGGTGATGCAGAAGCAGGTTTTGGGGGGACAGTCAGTCATGCAGGGGGTGAAAAAGCAGGCTGTAAATTTCCTGTCGCCACCCATTAGTCCAAGTCAATGCACTTTTGAGCAGTCTTGTTCACATTACAGGCTAGATTGCCCTTTATGAAGGGAGAGAAACCTCATCTTCCAATTTACAAGTTACCATTTATTTTGTGTGCTTCTTTTGTGCCATGTGGCTGTAGTGTTAAAAAATGAAAGTTAAACATCCAAGACCTCTTTTAGTTGTGTCTAAAAATATGCTGGCTGCAGCGTGGGAGAATTCACTTGAGCTTGTATGAGAATTTGCCACAAGAAAGGGATTCCTGGAGCTGCATGTTTATCTGTGGGCAGCTAGCATCCTCCACTGGGCAGCTTGTCACTGGAACATGTGCTGTGGAAGCAGAGGCTGTAGTGCAAGACTGCTTCCCAAGAGCAGCTGCACCTGAATTTGCAGAACTCGCACTTGTTTTTGGTCCTATAGTCTACGTACTTTGCTTCAGGGTCTTTCTGTGAAGAGTAGGCATAGCATTGATACAGTTGTTGTTACGATCCACGTACTTAAAAATTAGCTCAAACAAGAACACAAGTGCAGGGCCATGTGAGATGCCGCACAAGTAATCACTGCTGCTGTGTTCCAAGGAGCAAATCACCCATCTTGTGTTCTTTTTTTGTTTTGTTTCTTTAATTCATGTATTTCTAGGCTTGGTGTGTGAGGTTTCATTTTCTTTCATTTGAAAGGTTTGAAAAGAACACCATCTGTGGCTGTGTACTTGACTTTGCATGTATCTTACTGAGAACCATAAAATGACCTAGGCATTATAGATTCAGATGTTTTACAAGTATGGTTCAGCATTTCCAGATTTATTTAAATAATGGTCACCTGATTGTTTTTCTAAAGGTAGGCAATGTAGAAAAAGCTGTGAGCAATACCATCAAACCTTGCTGTTGCCAAGCATGTGGCAAGCAGTTTTAGAAATGATTCCGTCTTTCCTACATGTTTATAAAGCCTTAGAGAATTTTCTGACTGTAGCACATTTCAGCATAAGGGAAACAAAAAAAATCAGTCCCTATATTTCATGTGTTCAGTAGCGGAGGACTGAAGAAGCACAAGACAGGTGCTTTTTGAAAAAGAATGAAAGATGTGAGGAGCTGATTCATGGTGGAGTAGCATGCTTTTAGCTGGGAAGGTTTATTGTAGCTGAACCTCCTGCCATCCCTCTAGCCGATATCGTAGATGAATCAGCAACTTGCTATTTTTATCTCAGCTGTACCGATAGAGTTTATAATATTGTTCTGTCAGAGCTATTTATACATCATCACATGCCTGACTACTCCAGGCTGTGTTGGTAGGTTATTTTCTTTTTTTTTTCCTTCTGTCTTAGATGATGACATCATGAATTAGGCATTTGTACTGAACGAAAAAGCTTTCTTCAGAATAGCAACAATTAAAGCTTACAGCAGAGTACAACGCCAGGAGCCACTGAAATACAGAGATAAGCTCCCCAGTTTTAAGTCTTCTCTAAGACAGGTCTTTTGGTGCTTCAGTAGCTGGTCCCCCTGAGGAATGGCTTGTTGAGA